CGCGGCTACCAACCTTCTCCGTGTGGTGTATGGCATCTGGAACAAAGGGCTGGCTTCCTGGAACTCTATTGCGGGTACTCCTGTGGCTACGTTGAGAAAATGGATGCGTGACAAGGGTTGGATTGAATCAGGGCCATGGAATTGGACCCATGAATTTCGTTTGGCCGTCAATTTTCACGATTCTACTTTTCACATTGAACTTGGTAAACATCTTCTCAGAGATGGTTGGCGACTGTGGTGTTGGGATCAAGTTCTTCACACCTCACGTCATGAAGTGCAGGATTTGCATCACACACAAGCTAAGGACCTGTTGTCATTAGACTGGGATCTCATTCGTAAGGTCGCTGCGACCAATGCCGGTTGCAGAACAGTGTCAGTTGGGGCCAGTGTGAGTCCTGCTTGGAGGGGCGAATTGTGTCCCTTTTGTCACAACACCCTTGGTTCCTGGCAACATCTTGCCTGGCACTGTCCTGCCAGTCCGGTTGCTGATCTGAGGCCACACCCAATGCCCATCAAGGCTATCTCTTGGAGATTTGGATGGGACAACGATCCTGAAATTCTTAGGTACTTAGGTTGCGTGCAGCACGCGTTGTGGGACGCGCTGTACAGAACAAATGGTGCCGCCGCTGATGATGTGGAGGTGGCAAGTGATGGCGCTGGCGCTGATGATGCTGCCGCTGATGGAGCGGCAAGCGCTGGCGCTGCTGCTGGTGCTGCTGCTGTTGGAGCGGCAAGCGCTGGCGCTGCAGCTGGTGATTAGCGGCTGCGGCCGCTGTGGTGCGTCGATTTGGCGGCGCTATCACACTTCAAAGAGTTCTCAAGAAAGGAGCTGACGGGAGGACGCCAGAAGTCCGCCGCAGTGGAAAGCATTGGCGGAAGCCCGCCATGGCTTGTGGAGAGAGACGCTACATCAGAGAAGTAGGGGAAGCAACGCGTGCCTTGAAAGAGGGACGATACGTGTGGCATCATGGACGCACAGGATCTTTAGATGGTGATGACATCACAGGGTGTCAAGCGAGGCATTGGATTCCGACGAATGCCAAATGCCGACACCAATTGAGAACAATACCTTGGGAGCTGAGTGCACCAAGGCCAGCTGCAGGAGAGCGGCTGATCGGCGAAGACCGGTTAGTTGTACCTCCGCCACCGCCTGAAGCGCGAGTGGCACCACCTCAAAGAAGGAAACTGTACATCAGAAGAGAAGATGTGCACAAGCATGGAGCAACTGAAGGTTGCCCAGGCTGTACTTGCGTCCTTGAAAATCGAAGGACAACTGTGCCTCATACAGAAGCTTGTAGGGCAAGAATCATTGAGGCAATGGAGAGAGACGAGACTGGAGCAGAAAGACTCCAGATGCATGCAAAGAAGCGCAAAGAAGACCAAGAGAGAGAGAGAGAGAGAGACCAAAACCAGCGGTCGTTTCGACCGGAACCGGAGAGAGAGATATAAGTGTAGAAGATGCAGAAGGCAGACCGGTTGAACCGAGCGGCGGATGTCCGCCAGAGACGCCGGAGATACCGGAAGATCCAAAGGTTAGAGCAAAGCTCAAAAGGCAAATGATGCCAGGATCATCTTCTGAAGCAAAGGCAAAGCCGAAAGTGTCGCCACAGCAAGTGAAGCGACTTGCGGGTCTGTATTGCATCAGGACCACCACTGACTAAGGCGAAGCCATCGCCGACGCAAGGTGTGAAGCGTACTGCCGCGGAATGTACGGGAGAATTGGAAAGCAAAACCACTGCTGAGCAAGCGGCTGTTCCAGCCGCAGCACCAGCAGCGGAGAGTGCACCAGACACAGGAGCACAAGATCTGAAGGGTGCAGCTTTAGCTGTGTTGAAGGAAGTTGCTATGGGCAACATCAAGACCTTGGTGGAATTGACGTACAAGAAGAAAGGGATTGAAATTTCATATCAAGAAATCGCTGATATTGCAAGCTTGAGTTGCCAAATGGCAGCAACAGATATTGCAGAGGTTTACTCACCGAAACGCTTTACAGCGCTGGCACAGCAGTTCAAGCTGAGGCCAAGGTTCGGTGTAGATCTGTGCGAGACACAGGAAAATGGTGAATACTGGAACCTCAACAAGGCAGCGGACGAGGAACTCCTTCACGAGCTGATAGACCGTGAAGAGCCCCTGTTGATCACAGGCAGTCCGCCTTGCCATTTGTTTTCAAAGTTGCAAGCGATAAGTTGGAACAAGATTCCACCAGAGATCAGAGAGAAAAGAATGAAAGAAGCATTACATCATCTCCACACGTCGTGTGATGTGTATGAGAAACAGATCCAGCAAGGGAGATACTTGGGTGGATGACAAACCACCCAGGATTGGCAGAACTGTTGGAACCGGAATGCACAAATAAGACAGGTGGAGCACCATGGCACTGCCACATCCACTTGATTGGCGGCATGGCCCAGCAAGCGGCAAAGTATCCGCCGCAGCTTGTAAGAACTGTGCTTAAATGTTTGAAAAGAGAACTGGAAGAAAGAGGTGAACTGAACGCTGTCGATGCGTACAGCGCAGGACCAGTTCCAGAAATACCAACCGTAGACCCAGAATGGGAACGGTTCGTGGATGATGTCAATGGGGAATTGCTTCCAAAAGAGGAAGTCGAAAAGGCCAGATCGGTAGAGATGCAGTATCTTCACAAACAGGAAATATACTTGCCAGTGCCGATTGAACAATGCTTTAAAGAAACCGGGAAACCCCTGATCAAGACCAGATGGCTTGATACGAACAAAGATGACCCAAGCCTAAGCCACCCGAATTTCAGAAGCAGGCTGGTTGTGAAAGATGTAAAGGCCGCGAAACGGCCTGAAGACCAGCTACCTGCAAATCTCTTGTTTTCAAGCACACCGCCTCTCGAAGCGATGAGGCTGCTGTGCCATTGTGGGCGACCAAACAGAGGTCGATCCACGGTGAACGACTGAAACTTGGTTTGTGGGACATATCCCACGCACATTTCTTTGGAACACCAAAGCGCAGGATATTCATAGAGCTCCCCAGCGAAGAGCCAAGAGCTGAGGGAGGCGAGATGTGTGGACTTCTCCAGAAGTCCATGTATGGAACACAAGATGCACCGAACATATGGCAGTCCCATGACTCAGGGATTTTGATAGAAGGTGGGTACAAGCGTGGAAAATCCAACGCTTCGGTAATTTACCACCCACAGCACGATGTCCGTGTGGTGGTACATGGAGATGATTTCCTGGCACTAGGTGATCAGAAACATCTCAGTAAGCTGGAAGACTTGCTGCGCAAGTCCTATGAGCTGAAATGTCTCGGAATCATCGGAGACCAACCTGAGGACAAGAAAGAAATTCATTTCCTCAACAGGTTGATTCCGTGTGGTGAAAGTGAAGGTAGACCAGCAGTATGGATTGAACCTGATCGCAGGCATGTGGACCTGCTGATTCAGAGTTTTGGTATGGTAAACGCGAAAGGCGTAGAGAGTCCAGATGAAGAAAACTGCAGACCAACAGGCTCTTGAAACAAGGAGCCCCCTGCTTCCAAAAGAAGCCGCGTCAGAGTTCAGATCCGCAGTAATGCGGGCAGCTTATCTGTTGCAAGACAGGCCAGACATTGGCCATGCTGCCAAGAACTTCGCGAGACGGCTGGTTCAGCTGACCGAGGCTAGTTTGACAGACCTGAAGAGGAGACTGATCAGATACTTGATCAGATACCCAGACTTCGCTCAGCTTTTCAAAGCACAAAAGACACCTGAGAGACTTGTTATACAGGTCGATAGTGATCATGCAGGAGACACAGTGACAAGAAAATCGACCACAGGCATGATTGCCTTCGATGGGCAACATGCCTGAAACACAGTTCGAATGTGCAGTCAACCATTGCACTTTCGACAGGTGAATCAGAGTACTATGCTCTGGTTAAAGGTGGAAGTACCGGGCTGGGACTTCAGTCCCTATTGGCTGACTATGGTATCAATGCAGCTGTCACCATCGAGTCAGACTCGAATGCTGCAAAGGGCACAGTCAACCGCGTTGGACTTGGCAACGCGCGCCATATCCAAACCCGATACTTGCGGCTGCAGGAAAGAGTATGTAGCTGAAAACCACCTTAAGGTCGTGCATGTTCCAGGTAAACAGAATCGATCAGATGTTCTGACGAAACCCTGTGCCTGGCACGCAGATGCACCAGACTATGACAAAGTCAGGGTATGTGTATCTGACAAATCGGAGCAAGGGCCAGCTGAATCTACTCAAGTGAAATCCTTGGCCAGACTCCGCTACCTCTAGCCGAAGGAGAACTGAGAGCCGGAGGTTAGCTCTTGGCGAGTGTACAGAAATCACTCTTCAAGAGAGGAGGAGTGAAAACATGTATAGACCATATATACCTCATGTGCTGTGTATAGATCCAGGGGTTGAACGTGAGCCCGATGTTACTTTTGGCTCAAGTAAAATAGAGCTCGGCAGCTCGATATTGCATTTTCAATATATATATATATCTATATGTATATATATATAATACATATATACGTATATGTATATATTTATATATTCATATTTTTATTTATTTATATATTTAAATATTTTTATATTTATATATTCACATATGTACATTTATATATTTACATTTATATTTATGTATATATATATATTTATATATTTATATATGTATATGTAAATTTGTGTATATGTATATTGATATAGATATGTATATTTAAACTTATATATATATTGTTTATGTATATATATATATATCATATTTATAATATGTATATGTATATAAAATCATATATGACCCAACTTGCGCCCTCTGAGTGGAGAGTGAGAATTAAGCAAAATGGAGTCAACATTTAATAAAAATGGAGGGGCATGCAATATTTCAACCATGAACCTGTTGCTAGTTCCAGATCATTTGTTGTCTTCGTCGGTCCCATGTTGCTCTTGAATATTTCCGAAAATAGGCAAACATGTTATTTACCCATTTGAACGTGATGTCCTCCTCCATGTCAGAAAAAACACCTCGAAAAAAAACTGTGCCAGGGTAGCTACGGCAAGTCCCAAAGCTGGGGAAGGCGCTCGGATGACAACAGCAGCTGCTTGGATCCTTGTCCCGTTGTCCCCCCAAAATGGAGGAGAGTAACCATCCCAACGAAGAAAGGACCTTGAGAGTTGGCCATAGATGTCAGCGGCCTTCCAGGCCGAGTTGGCAGCTATCTTAGTTGGGGTATGGTTAAGCTACAAACGTACAGGGGCATAAAACAAAGCATTTTACGTGGATGTTTTTTTAGGATATGGAATTGACCAACATATATTGTCGTCGGTCTAAAATTAGGAAATACCCCTTATGGGCCATGGCAATTCGAACAACTAGGGAAACTGGTGATACAGGATACAATTTTGAGATACGCAATTTTCAGACAAATCCACATGCAAATCATAAACATATATGTCCTAGATTAGCTAGATGTGGAAGTTCATCTATGAATCCGAAGAACACGGATAATTTTCAACGACCATGTTTGACAATGCGGAAGGTACCACAAACTACAGTTGCCAAACAAGTAAAACAAACCAACGCATCTTTATTGGTAGTTCACCCCAGGAACTACCTAGTCGATGATTCAGTGATTACATATCCGCTTGCTGAACAGTAATCCTGAGTTTCGTACATAGAAAAACATATGTATATATATATATTTACACCACCATACAGAGATCTAAAACAGCATAATTACATATTATTTAAGGATACATATATATATATACATACATATGCATTTACGGAAAGAAGTTTAGAAGTCAAACTTCCGACAATATGGACAGATGAAAAGCAGAGATGGGAAGAGTCAGAGAAGGTCAGAGAAGAGAAGAGAAGCGAAGCGAAGAGAAGAGAAGAGAAGAGAAAGTCTCAGAAGGAAGAAGATCCAGGTGGGCGAAAAGGTAGGAAAGTCACGAAACATTGTGTTTTTCCAACGATTTGCGGCTCCGGATGGGTGCGGAGCCAGCTGGCCAGATGAGGGATGAAAAATTGCAAAATGTTGTGGCGCGAAGCACATTTCCAAGTCAAGAGTGTAAAAAACTGACCGGTTCGGACCACTCTTGGAAGTTGAGATGATGAAAAATTGCACGCCGTTGTGGCGCGAAGCACATGTCCAAGTCAAAAGTGTAAAAGCTGAGGGGTCCGGATTACTCTTGGAAGTTGAGATAATCCAAAAGTGCACGCTGTTGTGGCGCGAAGCACATTTCGAAGTCAAAACGTACAAAGCACCTCAGCTTCGGACCGCTTTTGGAAGTTGAGATGTCGAAAAAGTGCATACCGTTGTGGCGCGAAGCACGTTATGCCCGGACCACTTTTTGACTTTCAGATGTCGTTTCGCGTGGCAGGCGCAAGGGATTGTGCACCGTGTCAAAAGTGAGCAAACCGTGAAGGTTTTGGAGCATTTCCAAAAATGATGGGAGGATCTGCAAAGATGCATTTTCCGTGGCAGGCGCAGTGCAAGAGACATATTCATCAGAGCTGTTAGGAGGTCCGGGCGCTGATTTCTTGAGAGAGGTTGCATTTTGGAGCCTCAGATCTTCAGGTTTGCTGAGATGATTTTGCGTGACAGGTGCAGCACTTCGTATGACCTGGCATCACTTTCCCGTGGCAGGCGCAGTAGTTTAGACAGATGGAGTGGAAAAATCGCAAAACGCATTTGTACGAGGCCGTCAGCTCTGCACTCAACTTTCCATTTTTGAAGGAATTGCTTCGTTTTTGATGTTGTCAGCTTAAAAAAATGAGGAAGTCTCACAGAATTGCTTCGTTTTGACGTTGTCAAGTTCAAAAATTGAGGAAGTCTCGCAGAATAGCTTCGTTTTCAAGCTTGCAGATAGATAGATAGACAGACAGAGATAGAGAGATAGAGAGATAGAGTGACAGAGAGATAGATAGATAGATAGACAGACAGACAGATAGATAGATAGCTAGATAGATAGATACATAGGTAGGTAGGTAGGTAGGGAGGGAGGTAGGTAGGTAGGCAGGCAGGCAGGTAGGCAGGTAGGTAGGTAGGTAGATAGTCAGAGAAAGAGAGAGAAGGAGAGACAAAACACCTTTCGGTCCATCAGTGCTCTGCCATCCGTGATTCACAACAACCAACCTCTCCTATAGGTTTCCTATTTCTGAAACTTCCGCCGCCGCCTTGTGCGGTACTACTGGTATATATATATTGACATATATAGATAAAGACACATTACTACATTATTTGCTCTTCGGAGGATGACCTGACGACTCAAGCGCCTCCCTTGTAGGCAGCGGAGCGCTCATGGCCTTAAGGTTTTTGATTGGGAAACAAGGTGGATTTACTGTGATTTCGTATGGTTTTTCTTTGGAATTTTATTGGATTGAATGGGGTTTAGTAGGGTTTTGCTTGGATTTTTAGTGGATTTACAGGAAGTTAGTAGCGTTTTTTTTTGGAATTTGATTGGATTCAATGAGATTCAGTAGGTTTTTTTTTGAGACCGTTATTGGTATCTCATGGGATAATCTGTCTTAACCATTGGGAATGGGATGATTTACCAACAAAAATGGTAATTTCATTGGGAAACATGTGGATATAACGGGAATATATTGGGGATATAAGCATGAACAATGCGGATTTAGCTAGAAAAAATGGTGATCTATGGATATGACGATTGATATAGTGGGTATATAACCAACGGTTATCAGATGATGATACCCTCCGTGTCATCATGGCAGGCTGGGAAAACCCCGAAGTAGATGAACCGTGTTTGATTGCCAGACAGCAAAGTTGACGTTCTTGAGATGTTTGGTAGGGTTGATGAGTCATTGAAGTGTGTTGAGAAGAATACCAGGACGTTGGGGTACCAATGCACTACATATCATAAGGGTTTCTTTGGCATTATCTCGCTAGATTTTCTATCTACAGCAACCCCCAGCTTGATAGGGAGATTGCAGGCTGACATAGCCGAAACGGGTGATCCAACAAATTTCGAGCTGGAAAAGTTCCAGCGGTTCACTTTACCTTTGCCATGGGTCTACCCTCAATCAAACATGGTAGTGGAAAAATCCCTCTTTCTGGGTGTTTGAATGGAAAGCGATCTTGTAAACATGATTTTTCATTGGCAGGTTGGTTGACTGGAGGATAACCGCCGTTTGAAGCTACCGACGAGAGGCCCATCTGCCCGGCGAAACTGAGTCACCTCGCCAGTAGGATCCCGGTGGGGGCCCGGGGCAACGCTGCGAAAACACGGCATTTTGCATTGGGCCGGGCGCAGAACCAAGTTTATCATGATGTACAGTAGCTACACTTGAAAGAGACACCACTGTAATCATCCCAGCAGGCACAGTGCTTCTGGGAACATCTCAACATATCATTTTGGTGCATGGTACCAGTTCAGTTGAACCTCCATGTGACATCAAGGATCAAAGCCTGTCTGCGAAACATGTCTTGCAGTATGTTGCAGTAGCACATCGCCCTTTCAATGACATTTGGCTGGTGGTCTTTTGCCCCTTTTGCTGGGATGATCCCCTGGACGTAGTCATATTTCTTGGGACGTGTTGGAACCAGAAACCCGCTATCATTGGGGGAAACCTGCAATCTGGGTCAGAATTGAACGTGGAATCCTGGGCGCTGCAGAGGACTCATTCTTATCATATCTTGGGCACAATTGGGGCTTATCTCCATTTCTTGCCGTGGTTTTTGCAGCAGATGGATTTGAAGGATCTGATCGAAAGTTTCATCCCGCAGCTGGAAGTGGCACGTGCGCGCAAGCTGCACCAAGCTGCTGGGCACCCATGGCCATGATCCAAAACAGAGGGAACTTTCCTCTGTCTGATACAGTGCTTCAAAAGTCTGCAATGATCCTAGTACAGTGAACAAAAAATAGCTGGGATTCATGGGTGCTTTAGTTTCCATAGCTTTCACACGTACTGGCTTGGTCGACCCAAAAAGCTGCGGTGATTGTTTGAAGATTTTGCAACGCATTGAACAATAGTAGGCGTTGTAGTATTGCTTGCTATTGTGCAGGTACTTTAATCATTATGATCATTTTCAGTCTCTATGTCTCTGGCGGCCTGACAAAACCAACCTAATCCACTCCGAAGGTCTATGAGGACGTCATCAATGATGAATGGCTTGCCTTTGGTTCACCCGCAATAGACTGAATGTAGTTGGAATAGAACATAGCAGCATAGCACTTCATCCTATAGGGCATATTAGGGTGAAGCGCTGTATATCCTATCTATCTCCTATATCTATCTCCTATATCTATCTCCTATATCTATCTCCTATATCTATCTCCTATATCTATCTCCTATATCTATCTCCTATATCTATCTCCTATATCTATCTCCTATCTATTTCCTATCTATCTGTCTGTCCGTCTGTCTGTGTCTGTCTGTGTCTGTCTGTGTCTGTCTGTGTCTGTCTGTGTCTGTCTGTGTCTGTCTGTGTCTGTCTGTGTCTGTCTGTGTCTGTCTGTCTGTCTATCTGTCTATCTGTCTATCTATCAATCTATGAATCTATCAATCAATCAATCAATCAATCTATCTATCTATCTATCGATCTATCGATCTATAGATCTATCGATCTATCGATCTATCGATCTATTGATCTATCGCATCTATCGCATCTATCGCATCTATCGCATCTATCGCATCTATCGCATCTATCCCATCTATCCCATCTATCCCATCTATCCCATCTATCCCATCTATCCCACCTATCCCATCTATCCCATCTATCCCATCTATCCCATCTATCCAATCTATCCTATCCTATCCTATCCTAATCCTATCCAATCTATCCAATCTATCCTATCCTATCCTAGTCCTATCCTATCCTATCCTCTCCTATCTATCTCCTATCTATCTCCTATCTATCTCCTATCTATCTCATCTATCTCCTATCTATCTCCTATCTATCTCCTACCTATCTCCTACCTATCTCCTACCTATCTCCTACCTATCTCCTACCTATCTCTTACCTATCTCCTACCTATCTCCTACCTATCTCCTACCTATCTCCTACCTATCTCCTATCTACCTCCTACCAATCTCCTATCTATCTCCTATCTATCTCCTATCAATCTCCTATCTATCTCCTATCTATCTCCTATCTATCTCCTATCTATCTCCTATCTATCTCCTATCTATCTCCTATCTATCTCCTATCTATCCTCCTATCTATCTCCTATCTATCTCCTATCTATCTCCTATCTATCTCCTATCTATCTCCTATCTATCTCCTATCTATCTCCTATCTATCTCCTATCTATCTCCTATCTATCTCCTATCTATCTCCTATCTATCTCCTATCTATCTCCTACCTATCTCCTATCTATCTCCTATCTATCTCCTATCTATCTCCTATCTATCCTATCTATCCTATTTATCCTATCTATCTTATCTATCCTATCTATCCTATCTATCCTTTCTATCCGATCGATCGATCGATCGATCGATCTATCTATCTATCTATCTATCTATCTATATATCTATCTATCTATCTATCTATCTTATCGTATCGTATCTATCGTATCTATCTTATCTATCTTACCTATCTTATCTATCTTATCTATCCAATCTATCTAACCTATCTAATCTATTGAATCAATCTAATCCATCTAATCTATCTTATCTATCTTATCTATCTTATCTATCCTAACTATCATATCTATCCGTTCTATCCTATCTATCCTTTCTATCCTATCTATCTTATTTTATGTTATCTTATCTTATCTTATCCTATCGCATCTTAGCTATCTAATCTATCTAATCTATCTTAGCTATCTAATCTATCTAATCCATCTAATCCATCTAATCCATCTAATCCATCTAATCCACCTAATCCATCTAATCCATCTAATCCATCTAATCCACCTAATCCATGTACTCCATCTAATCTAATCTAGTCCATCTAATCCATCTAATCTATCTAATCTATCTAATCTATCTAATCTATCTTATCGATCTTATCTATCTTATCGATCTCGGCGATCTTATCGATCTTATCGATCTTATCTTTCTTATCTATCTAATCTATCTATCTAATCTATCTAATCTATCTAATCTATCTAATCTATCTAATCTATCTAATCTGTCTAATCTATCTTATCGATCTTATCTTTCTTATCAATCTATCTAATCTAATCTATCTAATCTATCTAATCTATCTAATCCATCTAATCCATCTAACCCATCTAACCCATCTAATCTATCTAATCTATCTAATCTATCTAATCTATCTAATCTATCTAATCTATCTAATCTATCTAACCTATCTAATTCTATCTGATCTATCTAATCTATCTAATCTGTCTAATCTATCTTATCGATCTAATCTATCTAGTCTATCTAATCTATCTAATCTATCTAATCTATCTGTCTACCTATCTACCTATCTACCTATCTACCTATCTACCTGTTTATCTGTCTGTCTGTCTATCTATCTATCTACCTATCTCTCTATCTATCTGTCTGTCTGTCTGTCTATCTATCTGTCTATCTATCTATCTATCTATCTTATTATCTTGTCTATCCTATCTATCCTATATATCTATCGTTTTTTCTTTCTATCAATCTTTTCCTATCTATCTTACCTATCTTATCTATCTTATCTATCTCCTCTATCTTATCTATCTTATCTATCTTATCTGTCTTATCAATCTTATCAATCTTATCAATCTTATCTATCTTATCTACCTACCTTATCTATCTTATCTATCTTACCTATCTTATCTATCTTATCTATCCAATCTATCTAACCTATCTAATCTATCTAATCAATCTAATCCATCTAATCTATCTAATCTATCTAATCTATCTTATCTATCTTATCTATCTTATCTATCCTATCTATCCTATCTATCCTATCTATCCTATCTATCCTTTCTATCCTATCTATCTTATTTTATCTTATCTTATCTTATCCTATCCCATCTAATCTTAGCTATCTAATCTACCTAACCTATCTAATCCATCTAATCTAATCTAATCCATCTAATCCATCTATTCTATCTAATCTATCTAATCCATCTAATCTATCTAATCCATCTAATCCATCTAATCTAATCTAATCCATCTAATCCATCTAATCTATCTAATCTATCTAATCCATCTAATCTATCTAATCTATCTTATCGATCTTATCGATCTTATCTGTCTTATCTGTCTTATCTATCTAATCTATCTAATCTATCTAATCTATCTAATCCATCTAATCCATCTAATCCATCTAATCCATCTAATCTATCTAATCTATCTAATCTATCTAATCTATCTAATCTAT